GGGGGGGGGGGGGGGGGGAACCATAATATATGTATATATATATATACATATACATATGTATCTATGTTCCCCTTTTCGGTCATCCACCCCGGCCTTTTTGCCAACTGTTCATCTACAGTATCATATCTCCACATGCTTTCTCCTGGGTCCAATATCCACCGCTACTTGCGGTATTTCTGCACTTCACACATACTTACCTCTATTTCGTTTGCTTGCTTGCGGAATATGTGAACCACCTAAAACCCAAACCAGAACCGCGTTGCGTGCTTCCCGATCGTTCGTCGATTGTTGGACAGCGACCAATTTTCAAATAAGACGCAAGCAAACACGATAGTCTCGTCTTGATATTTGGTATCATCTTCTGTCATGGGAGGTCCTCTTTCATCACAAACAAGGACAACAGAAAAAGTCTGTCACCCCTTATCAGTTGCTAGCAATAAACGAGAACTTACAATCTGCCGATAGACGAAGGTTATGTCAAAGCACGTCTACAGCTCTTGATACTTTGGTAAAGAAGTGGCTTCCCTCCACCATATTCCAAATACGATCTATCATGATTATAGTATGTCGAGCATCTGACGCTTGATATCACGAGATGAACAACTGCTCGTTTCTTTCTATCATGTGGAATCAGACAACTCCTGGCACGAACAGAACAAGAAGGCGAATCTTCAGCTGGCCAGCAACAAGAGAAAAATACAGAGACCAAGAAAAGATGACGCTTTCTCTCCTCAAAAGAAATGTGGAAGCACACATCTATATGTTTTCCTTTTTAAATGTTTTGTGGGAAACACGACAAAGTCACATCTGGAAAGCTTTCGTTGTTCCTCTCTTTGCAAACGCAAAAGACCACTTGGTTCATGTACCAGACTCTGCTGCTGCAACATCGTGCAACAAGACATCACATGGCTCCTGCTACTGCCTTCTCGCTTCAGCCTCACAAAACGGAAACACCTGAAAATAGGTGGTGAAAAGCTTCCAGGCTCAAAGTTCCTCTAGATTCCTAAAGCCCGAAATGCGAAAACACTGGTGGCACGGATCAACTTTCCCCTAAATTCCCCCTGGCATCTATGGGGAGCGCGCGGACAGATACCAGGAGTTACCCAGATGTTGGGAATTTGTGTGATATTTGACTCCTGGCGGGGGTGGATCACTGTGGGGTGCAGTGGGGTGGGGTGGGGTGGGGCGGGGTGGGGTTGGGGCATGAGTATAAACCAACAAACAAGCAAACACATGTAGACATGTACGAAAATAGCTATTGACACACACACACATATATATAT